ATTACTGGGGTGCTAACTAGAAGGTTTTCAGTATGGAAAAATGCTATCCATGAGGTTTGCAGGGGCTAATGCCTCTGAAATGGGCAGCCTCGTCCTTCTTCATAGTCTTTTAGTAGTCTGGAAGCACTGATGACACCTATTAATTTGGGGTGACCCTGCTAGTATTTGAAATACTAGTGACAGAACTTCCAGCAGTGCAGCAACACTGCAGCCACCTCAGTACTACAAACTCGTAGGGAATCTGGAGGACGGCTCCTTGGCCAACTGACTGGAAGAGATTCGTATCTGTGCCCATTCCAAAGAAAGGTGACCCCACAGAATGCTCAAATCATAGAACAAGATCAGTAATGTCGGAGCCCTGGTGTAATAGCGGTTACCTGTTGGGCTGTAATCCACACGGTCAGCAGTTCGAAACAATTAGCCACTCCTTGGGACTCAGAAACTCACAGGGACAGTTCCACCCTGTACCACAGGGTCACCATGAGCTAGTATCGACTCGATGGCAGTGATTTTTGTTTTGTTTTTCAAAACCATTTTATCGGGAGCTATTACAGATATCATATCATTCCATAGTTCAATCACATCGAGCCATATTGTACAATTGCTACCAAAATTAGTTTTAAAACATTGTCTTTCTTTTTGAACTCCTTGATATCAGCAACCTTTACCCACCCCCCACTGGACCCTACAGGAACCCTCATTCTACTTGTTGTCTCTATAGGTTCATTAATCCTGGGTTTCATATACTGAAAAAACATGTAGCAAAAATTCAAAAGGGCTACCCTCAATGACAAAATACATAGGAGACAAACTCCAATATGGAAGGAAAAAACCCCACAGAAAACGTTGAAAACCAGATTAGGTCCAACATGCATCAGAAGGGGTAACTGACAAGATTGTAACCATTCAAGTCAGATTGAGCATTTTGATCTCCTATAGTCTTCTCTGCAATGCACTCTATTTAGCAACCAGTTTATCCCCATTTGTCCACTATGGATAGAGGGAAGTCACTGGGGGCTCATTTCCTGCATGGATCTCACAAATGTAGCTTGGGTTTCCACTGCCATCCGTAGCCGTCTGCAAACTGGAATCTCACAATGTTAGCTCTGATATGATTCCCTCCTTTGGCTTCAGATTACATAGTTTACGATCCTTTGGTCACTAATGTTTGTGTGCTTCTTCCATGCAGACTTACTTGAAATCTCACTTAGATGGCCGCTTGTTTGGAAATGAGCTTTAAGACCCCAGATGGGATTTCTTGACCACGCTTTCCCATAGTACCCATCTCTTCATGAGGAAATGTTCTTGTTCACTAGCCATCTGGGAAATGCAAGTCAAAACAACAATGAGATACCATTTAACACTCATAGCCATAATCTGTTTTTAAAAACTGAGAACCACAAATTGGGACAATGCAGAGAGATTCAAACCTTTTTTTTTTTTTTTTAACATTTTATTAGGGGCTCATACAACTGTTATCCCAATCCATACACACATCAATTGTGTAAAGCGCATTTGTACATC